CAGGATGATGCTGGAAGTCACTGACAAAGGGACCCTATCCGAAGCATTCGAAGTGACCAACTGGGTGAAGTTGGGCTGAGTGCTTCCACCCACTCTCTTCAATCTAATGTTCTCTGTCATGCTGATGGGTGCCTGTCGTGATGAGCGTCCTGGGATCAGTAAAGTGTGGCCAGTCCCTCAATAGTCGGCGTATGCAGGCCCCAACGTATGTGTTTACGGCTACAGTCCACGACCTACTCTTAACAGACGACTGGGCCCTCAATAACACGAAGGGAGGGTACATGCAAAGGAGCATGGACTTCTTCGTCGGCATCTACGTCCATAACAATAAATACGGTCAAAACGGTGGTAATGAACCAACCGTCATCCAGCGTGGAATTCGTCGCTCCTCCGATCAATGGCAATGGTGTCCAATTCAAAGTTGGAGACAAATTCGTCCATCTTAAGGGGCAAACTTACGCGGAACACCCAAATCGACGACGACGTTACGCATCGAATCTGCAAAGCCAGCCAAACCCTCGGCCGGCTACAAGCCTCCGTGCGGAATCGCCACGGCCTTTAAATAAACGTTTAACTGATGGTGTACAAGACCGTCGTCTTACGAGATTCCTGTATGGAGCAGCGACGTAGGCCTTCTACTCCAACCAAGCCAGGAAGCTGAAACACTTCGATCTCTGAAGTTGCGAAGGCAGGACAAGATACTATACATGGAAGACCTAGAGCGTAACAGGATCCTCAGTATCCACGTCACACTGAGGCAAATGCAACTACGATTAAGTGACCACCTGGTGAGGATTGACGACAAGCAAATAGGCAAACGAATCTTTTACGGAGATATTGCTAGGAAACAAGAGGGACAAAAAACGGCAGTACAAGAACACCTTAAAGAACTCTCTGAAGCAAATATAAATCGCCCCATCGACCTAAGAGGACCTCGCCCAGGACCGGTTGGCCTGAGAAAGAGCAGTTAAAACTGGTGCAGCAATCTACCGAGCAAATTAGATCGCTGCTCAGGCCAAACGGGTGGCTTCGAAGTCATAAGCCCCTTGTAACCATACCGTCCGTGCCCAAACATTCCCAAAA